TATGTACATTTACAGATGATATTATACTCAAATATTAGAAAAAAGTATTTTTAAACATATTAAAAAATAAATAGGATTAGTAATGATATCAATGCTTTTGAAATTGAACTTTAAAAAATAGCGTTACTTAGATGTTAAAAACAGGAAATAAATAATAATTGTATTATATAAAAAGATATTGTTAAAGAATGTGAAGCAAACAAGAAAAACGCAACTATCGATCCGAAGGTCTATATATTATTCAAAATGTCTACTATTTCAAGATATAATGGATATTTCAAAGTTTAAGGAAAAAAATGATTCAGCAAATTACTGCTAATGCCATTTGATTTCATTTAGAGCATCCATAGTTTTGGATACTGGATTTGACTGAAAAATAGTCCTTTTTAAGCTTAAATTAAAAATAATAATTCATGTACATAGAATCATCACGTATATTACCTTTCAGTATTTGTGAAAATGATAAACTTATGCATCTGAATATGATTCAAGGTTCTTTAAAGTCTTATAAATTGTCTTGTAGAAAATTTGAACCCCCATTTAAAAACAAAAATAAGTCCATTTTTAGAAAAATCGACTTTTCTTTAATCCAACCTTAGACACCAATGTTTATTAACGTGATATAAAATTAAAAGTGATCCGTTATGTCTTTCAAGAATTGCAGAAGTTTTTTTTCCTCTTTTTTTTGGTTTTGTTTTTGTTTTTGTTATTGTTTTATTTCGTTTTGTTTTGTTTTGTTTTTTTTTTTTTTTTGTTTTTTTTTTTGTTTTTTTTTTTTTTGTTTTTTGTTTTTTTTTTTTTTTTTTTTTGTTTGTTTTGTTTTTGTTTTTGTTTTTATTTTTTGTTTTTGTGTTTTTTTTTTACAATATAAATTACATTACAGTTGTTATAAATAGAAATTAAATACCGAATAGGTCTCTATTCAATATTTTAATAGAAAGCAAGATTTAAAAAAAAAAATGTGCTTTCATACAAAAAAAGCCAGGTGGGAACCTGCACCCCATTATTATTAGTAGTATTTTTAAAAATTAATTAATCAATGAATTTATATATTTATTTATGTTCATTCATTTATTTGTTTGTTTGTTTGTTTATTAAACTGCTTGAACGTGCCAACCCAATAGTTAGATAAAAACCAATAAGCGTGTATAATAGAATAAACGTATGTTTTCAGAAGAATTAATTGCAACTATGAATATCTAAACAATTGTTACTGCCTGCTACTCCTTAAAATATGTTTGCGCAGCTTGAAAAAAAGGATTTAAATATAAAATTGCTAGACTACCAATAAGATTGTTTTGTCGGAAAAATTTTCATCAGCATATTTCATTTCTCGGGACATTGTGTGTTGGCATTAAGAATATTAACAATGTGTTGGTTTTAGAGTAGGCGTTAACATGGCCTTTTAATTGTCTGACGTAATTGCGTCAGACAGTACGAAATTTAGACAAAGCTTGTTGGTCAAGTCGTTTAAAAGAATTCTTTTGATAACTTGATCTTGGAAACTTCATACTATCTAAATAACTTTCAATTGGAGTGCATGAGGAGTAATGGAAACATACTAAACACCATAGCAAACCAGAGCATTTGACCTGATGTCATTATTACATGGATCACATTATACATACATTTAGCCATTCTCGAATGCATCATTCATGTCAATCAAAACAGCAGGAACTAATTAAGCTGGTCAGGTCAACACTGACTTGTCGCATATTTTATCAAATTAACTAATGGATGTTTATTTTCAATACATTCCAAGTCTCTCTACCTTTAGAATTTTTATAAAGTCTACACATATCCATTACTTGCAGAAATTTGATTCATTAATACTTAAAAAAAATCTCAGAGGGAAAGATAAATGTTGAATATTCTTTTGCCAAAATGCAAACTTAAGTTGTTAGCTAATTTTTAACACGTTTATTTTTTTTTTCAATTATATAATCTTTTCATAAGTATAACAGGCCCGTTGTAAGAAATTTCTGGAGGGGGTGTTCAACCAAAACTGTTCAGTTTATGGTGTGCACTATAAAAGGAAATTGCTTTTTCAAGGAAAAAAAAAAAAAAAAAAAAAAGCAAAAAAAAAACAAAAAAAAAAAAACAAACAAACAAACAAAAACAAAACAAAAAAAGTTATCCGACGTTATTATTTCCATGATTGAGACACCAGCATAAGTAGCTATGCATAAATTGGCAAACACACCCCGGTTCCTACGGCCATGAACAAAAATTACAAGTAATACAGTATATACAGTATAAATATGTGTATGTCCAAGTTCTGTTTTATTTTCTCGTTTCTTAGAAAAAAAGAATTCATTTCAGGACTCCCAGAGTCATGTTGATGCACTGGATTTAATTTTTCTGGATTCTTCGTGTATAATACATTTGCTCACGTCAGACAAGCTTTTTAAGAAAGCTAATACTTGTATTGATGTTAACTTTATCTATGCTTCGTAAATATGTAGGACTCCAAAGTGCGATGGGACTCCAAAGTCCGATGGTCTGCGCCCAACCCCGATGGTTTGACATGCCAAAGTCCGACGGTGCGGAAAAACGATTGGCGTTTGTGACGTCATAGTACTACTGTGCCAAACTGCAATGCCGCGCCATGCCAAGGTCTTAAATAAGTATAAATAAATATCATTATGCGAAAACTAACCCTAATCTCTCGGATAGTTGCGAAACTAACCCTAATCGCTCGAAAAGTGTGTAACAACTATAACCTAGATATCTTGGGTGGGCGCGAGACTAACCCTAATCTCTCGACTAGTGTGCGAGGACAAACCCTAAATCTCTCGGGTTGGTGCGAAGCAAGGACTAACCCTAATCAGTCGAGTGTGTGCGAGGACTAACCCTAATATCTCTGGTGGGTGCAAACACTACGCAAAATCAGTAAAATTTTATGCGAGGACGAATACTGAACTGATGGCTTTTGAATGCAGGACAACGGCGTCAAGGATTGACGTCTGAATATTGTGACGTCATAAACGTTGATTGTTTCTCTGCACCATCGGACTTTGGCGTGTCAGATCATCGCACTTTAGCGCAGCGCGTCTCATAGGAAACGAGCGATCGGACTTTGGCGTGACCATCGGACTTTGGCGTCTGTACTGACATCAAACCATCGAGGTTTGGCGCAGACGATCGGGGTTTGGCAAGACCATCGGACTTGGAGTCACCATCGGACTTTGGAGTCTTACAAATATATCGAAAGAAAACCTGTTAGATGAGAGTAGTTAAGTCGTACATGCAGACTACGGAAAAGTGTTTTAAAACTCAATGATGGGATATCTAATAAGAAAAAAATTAAAAGAAAATCGAAAAGGTATGTTGAATAAAATCTAGAAAATGATATCTGATCTGTTGATATCAATTCAAAAAAAAACAATACAACAGCTTAGAAAATAATTGACATCAAATTAAATGAATCTATTTAATTCTATTTAATTAAATATGGAATGCAGACTTTTGCGTAATGAAAACTTTATTTTATGCAATAAATATTTTCAACAAAATAATAATTCAGTGATAGTGAACAAGTAATATTAAATTCAAATATTTTTTCTCTTATTATTGTATTTTTTTTTCTCATCTTTATATTAAGATATGTTACTACTGTACTGTTCCTGTATTTATTCTTTAATTATTTTTTCTGTAAATTCGACCAAATTCTGCTGGGTTTTTTTTCTCCCTCTCATACATACATATTGTAACGAAATATATGGAGATAACGAACAGTATTCAAGCTCAAAAGTCCATTAAACAATACAAAATAGGAGCAGAGCAAACACGAACCTTCAAACATCAGAGGTGGGATCAGGTGCCATGGAGAGGAGAGCATCCCCTGCCGAAAAAATCCATTAGATTTCTTCTGTATAATTAGAACGTCATTCATTTGTGTAATTCGGCATGATTTCTAATTTAACATGTTTGTCATTTTAAAATATTAGTTTTTAAGCAGCTTAAAAACATGTTTTGTTACTATCTAATAAAGGTCTGTAATCTTAATCATAATAATAAGGAAACTGATCAGTATAAGTTTTCTAACTTGTTTCCGAATCCTTTTTGATTTTTGTACTACTTGCCTGTATTTTCTGCATGTTATTTTTCAAATAAAGTATGGTTTAAACTAAACTAACATACACTTGTAAATATGTACTGGGCTAGTCCAGATACCTTAGAGAGTTGCTATTTCATTCAAAGTGCATGAAAACATGTTTAATAATAAACCTTGCTTGGTTTGATGAATTTTATGGTAATGATAAAATACTCATATTTATCTTAAATAATCAAACGAAAGCAAAAATTTAAGTTTTCAAAAATTACTGTAAATACTGTTCATTTCTTGTTAAATATTCTAAAATTTAAGGAGACTGTTAAAATTTTACCATTTTTGTTGACTCTCAAGTTAAAAAAATGAATTATTTCTCAGTGATGTGAACCAGAATGTTCTATGTGTATTTACAAGATGGATTGATTATGTAAGGGAACTTAAATGTGAAAATGAAAGAATGGGAAAATTGGAGAAAGGATGTTCCCAGATGGATAAACTCTATCAAAAAATGAACAAACGGATTGAGGCAAGAATTTAAATTTAATTCAAAAATTCCATTTATTTCTTAAGAAACAATAGCCGTGTTTCGAGTTATGCCGGAACATCATTTTTATTCCCCTTTTAGTCACGCCGCATCAAAAATGTTCCTCAACGTTACTTCCGGTAATATTCTATACCGTGTTTATATTGGAAACTTTTATCTTTTACCATTAACTCTGTTACTGTCATGCAAATTTCATTTAAGTTGCAAGCATGGAATTGTCTAGAAAATTTATTTGCACACACCACTTTTGTAGTTCTTGTTGAAAAACTCGACCAGACGTCAACTGCAGAAGATCCACAGGTGCGACCACAGGAGTTCGCAATTTTATCAATAAAGTCAATAAAAATCACTCGATTGACCAAGCCATGAGCTATGCGTTATTATATATATAATAACGCATAGCTCATGGCTTGGTCAATCGAATGATTTTTATTGACTTTATTGATAAAATTGCGAACTCCTGTGGTGCGACTGAGCAAAGCCAAAGGTAATCAAATTGTTTTATTGAATGTAGGGCCAACAATTTTGGATAATAATTTAAAAAATAATGGAAAACTGATGAAGTCACTTGTACTATGATACATGTATCTTTTAAACGAAATGCAGTTTGAAAGTGTTACACGGGAGATGGGGGAGCTAAGATTTCACTTTTGTTTTTAAGAAATAATGCAGAGTTGAACAAAATAAAATTAAAAACATCTATTTCAGTTTTAGTTGACTGAATTAATGAGGACAATAACACAACAGAAATGTTTGTCCTAATGTTATTTCCCAGACAGATAAAGTTTTGTGACTAGTTGTTAATGAATTTTAGAGAACTCCACACAGAAACACTGATAGATTTAAAAGATAGGGCTAGGGCATAAGTATACATGTATATACATGAAACTTGACTGTGTCCATTACAAATATCATTGAGATAAGTCATACTAGGTCTTTAAAGGAAAAGTATTACATAACTGTTTCAAATTATGATTTATATTAAAAAAAAAAAGGGGGGGGTAATCTGATCAGTAAAGTACATGTAGCTTTACAATGCTTCCAGGAAAGTACATTCCCTGACGAGAAGAAGTATAGAAAAGAACACCCATATTCTACCATAGTTAACGAAAAAGCTCTGCATGCAGGATGTTGCTGGAGTACCACTATGACAGATCACCTCATTGCATCTATTAGGTATGGCTTTGAAAGTTTTGTGTAAGTTATGATTTCACAAGATTGATAATATGTATAGCTGCTAATGAAAAATCAATGTCTGCTTTATTAAATCCTCATAATGTAATGTATATATAATAGTATAAAAATTCTCTGTATTCTCAGTGTTTGAGTAAATTGTTATGGACTAGACAATAAAATATACAAGACAGAATCCATATCTTTATTTTTTTTAAATTTGATAAAATGAAGTAATAAATTATTGTGCTAAATTTTAAATAGAGTACACATATTTTTAGCAAGATTATTTTGGCTGATACCCATTTTTATGTTTAGGGAGAAGAGCTTGCTTAAGTCCTTGCCAATTAGAAGCTTGCTGTATGTCTTAAACCTTAAACCTTACTGTGCACTCCTCCATCGTGTCAACATAGATATGATTTTTGGCTTATAATAGAAAAAAATATTGGACTGCGGTGAAACATGCAAATAAAACTGCAGAACAGTTGGATAGTATTTTTGTTTGCTTTATAATACTCTCAGGTGGACTTAGTATCCAAATGAAACAATTTTATGCCCTGTTCACACGGCGAGTTTAATTCGCAGTAAATTAATGCGAAGTAAAATGATGCGAATTAAACTAATGCGAATTAAATTGCGTTCACACGACAGGTAATGCGAAGTAAACTAATGCGAATTATATTTTGACTTCTACAGCAAGGCTATTCAGTAAGGCTATTATGACGTCATTTACAAATCACGTCATATTGTGCAGAGCAGATACATTTGACATAATGTCATAGTGTCTGTACACATTTAAGTGATTAAAATAATTTTCCTTTGTTTTCCACTCAAAAATAGCACAAGTACCTATATTTGACCATCGACATGTGGCCTATGATTTAATTCTGCCCTTACGCATGCGTCAAAATTTAATTCGAATTAGCTTCGCTTAGCGTTCACACGGAGCTAATGCGAAGTAATTTAATGCGCAGTGAACTAATTCGAATTAAACTGATTCGCATTAAATTCTCCGTGTGAACGCGGATCAAATTTAATTCGCAGTAACTTACGTTTAATTCGAATTAAACTCTCCGTGTGAACAGGACATTAAATACATTGAGGAACTGTTTTGTATGTTGCTAAACATTTTTTGTTTGTTTGTTTGTTTTTTTAAATATGTCCTTAACCTAAAATAAAAAAAATATTTTCAAAAATATAAATTATACTTTCACTGCATATGTGTATGGACATAAGATTTTGTAAATTGATAAAGCTGTATACTGGTACGTGGCATTTCAGCAACATTGCGGGTTATTGAGTGTGTGGCAGTTACCCAGTAGGCAGGTTCAGTTGCTGGTAGCCAGATAGCTCAGTTGGTAGAGCATTTGACTAGTGATGCAAGTGCCTGGGTTTTGAATCCTGGTCTGGTCCGTCACATTTTTCTTCTTTCCAGTTGCAAGTGTGTGTAGATGCTTAAATATTACACAGTTGATTTTCTGTGCAGTATCTTGACCACCACTGAGGCAGTACACTCAACTTTAGTTTGAATTATTGTGTCAAGTTTGATACACTTAATACAAGGTACATGCATTTCCTCAGTCGTACATCATTGGAGATCTTGTATAATTTATTGTTAAAGCAGTAGCAAGATATTTTTTTCAATCTGATTTATTCAATTAAGGAGTTTTACATGTTTATATTGATGCAGTTTAAGAAACCGAAAAAGTCTTTTTTCCCCAAAAATTCTAGCATTAAAATGCCTTGATCTTATGCGTGGAATTTGGAATATAAACAAATCATGAGATGATGACTTTGAGCTGATGTACCCAATTGTCAGGCTTTTTACAATGAATTTCCATTTTATCACATATTGGAATAATGTTTAAATATGTGTAACAATCATATATAAATTTAGAACTTTGTGTGTTTATAGAGGACAAAACAATTTTATGTAAAGTCTCCTTTCCCCCCCCCCCCCTTCTTTTTTTTACAGTTGCTGCAATATTCCGCCCCAATTGACAATTCACGACAACGCATGTTGACACTACACGTTCTATAATGAAGTACATGTACAACTTAGAGAGTAAAATACAACAAAGTAGTCGTTAAACAGTGTTTATACTATGTATTATTTCCTAAATATTACATAACTGATATTGATATCGAGGGACACATGTACAAGAACTGGTTTTAACTCAGAAAGAGAACCCTAGATATTTCAAATAAACGTATATTAATTTCTACCTTCATGGTAAACTTATTATATTACACAAATAAATAAACGATTTCATGCATAATCTTGATTTCAGGCGTAACTAAAGTAAACAACCCGACTCGAATGTAAACCGGAAGTAACCCTGTGGAACATTTTCCTAAAATCAAGTGATCGGCGTGACTAAACAGGGAATAAAAACGGTGTTCCGGCAAAACTCGAAACACGGCTATTGGAGAACTTTTGGTTGTCAGGATTCTTAAAAAGTAATGAAGGTGTCAGAATATATTGCTATTAATCAAATTGGTAATTTGGTAATTTCAAGATATATATTAACAGTAAACATGAATCCTCCAGGAGATAATTTATATGTTCTTTCTATTATTTCAATATTTCTCTTTTGCATCAAAACAATGAACAAAGCACTCAGTTTATTTATCTAGATAGATACGGAAAAGAAAGCATTTCTTTCAGATGAGAATTATTGCTAATAAGCATTTGTTATTTCATCTTGTGATAAGAGAATTTAGATTGACATTTTTGCAACGTTTTTAATAACACTTTCAATTCACAAATATTTGTGTTACGTAACAAATTTATGCATGTCCAAAAACACTTTTCATTTTATTCTTTTTTTTCTTCCAACAAAAAAAAATCGAGAAAAAAATCTACTAAAAAGAAAAATAATGTGAAAAACATGTTTACGTTATTGTTATTATTACAAGGGCTGTTCGGAAATTATTGAGACATTGCGTATATTTTTCTAATGAACGTTTTTCGGTGAAAATTTGCATATGCGTTTGACAAACACTAAGAATTAATGAAAGCAAAAAATATTTTACAAATATTTTATTTCTTCTTTCCAATGGTATATCAAGGTGTCACTGGTGAGGTACCCGGCGCAGTTGCGAAGTGATATATTGAAAATATGTACAGTCCCTGAAACGTTCTACTTTCCCATTTTTCCGTTCGCTCACCGTTCGTTCAGCGTGCGTTCACCGTTCGTTCACCGTGCGTTCACCGTTCGCTCTCCGTTCACAGTTTTGCGTTCTGCGTTCACCGTGCGCTCGCGTTCAGCGTTCACCGTTCGCTCTCCGTTCGTTCACTTTGCGTTCACCTTGCGTTCAGCGTTCACTTATCGTTCAGTCTTCACTGTCATTCGGAACTCCAAAGTGAAAGGACTTATCTTTTTTGTAAGTAAGGATTTACGGGATTTAAAATTTAATAATTAACGTATCGTGTTTAAAGGATCATTATTTTATGGGAATAAATTATCTACAATATGTTTTATTATTATTCTAACTTAGTTGATAGGTTATTAATTAAATTACTCTGGAAAATAAATGTTGTTATAAGTCTGTACCTATGTAGAACGATGCTGAAATATTAAAATTAAATACGGGTAATATACGCGTACTTCAAGCACTGCAACATTTTGTTGTTATGTGAAAGACGACAAGTCGTTAATGGAGAGATAATAATCCATGTCAATTAATTTACCAACTGCAGCAACATTACGAAAGTATTTATTACTAACACGTTTTTTTTTTCAATTATTATAGAAATACATTATTAGAACTAGTTCTGAGAATTATAAATAGTACTGCGGATATCCAGTTAATTAAATATCTTTGGATCGAATTAAATTGATAGTGTGGTTAAAAAATATTTATTTAAACGTGATATACAACAATTCATATATAAATTCTATTGTTAGAGAGAGAAAATTCCTTTCTTCACAATATCTTTATATGTTTGCCATTCAATATGATTAAGACCTCCCCCCCCCCCTCTTTTTCCACGTAGATCGGTGACTTAGTCAGTATTTCCAGTATATTTTTATATTAATATTTAAAAACAAGTTAACGCGTTTTGTAGCACAAAAATTTCAGTCTCAAAACAAACATGCATCTAAAAAAGTCATTAAACAAAAGTAGTTCAAAATATACACGCGCCGACGGTGGTATTTTAAATTGGCCGGGAAGTATGTTTCAAATTCATTCAAAGTGTTTATGCCCAATGTATTTTATTTATTGGAAAAATTGGAATCAGATCTAGAAATGATAAAACATGTTAAAACTTCTTTGAAACACTACAGTGTAACACTTCGCCTTTGGTGTAACGAGACTTTCACACCTGCACAGTGTCGAATGATTTTGATTGACAGGACAAGCACGTGGACTTCGTGTAGGAAAATAAAAACCGATTATGACTGTCAAACAAAGTGAATTTGTTGATAAATAAAAAAAAATTACTTCCACTGCCTGATATATTTAGATAAAAATTAAGAATTTTTGTTTATACAAGTACATATGTACATGCACATGCATTTGTGGAAAGGGGGGTTAAAACGGAATATCTCTCTCTCTCTCTCTCTCTCTCTCTCTCTCTCTCATTTGTCCGTTTAATCAAAACTATGACACGTATTAAATACTAAGTTCTGAAATTTTAATCTATAACAAATAATATGAATGCTTCTTTGTCTCGCCTTGTCCGAGTATAATCACGGGGAATTGTCTACAGATACATGTAGATGTCTGCTAAATAAATCATCATTAAAAAAATATGAAAAGACACATAAATATATTATTGCATTAATTTTTTTTTAAATACGCGTGTATACATGCAATACGTCCACAGAATAGCAAAATATTTTTAATTTTTTTTTTCTCATTATTTTACACGGAATTGCCTTGACATACATGTATGGTTGTTACAACCGTTGTAATTCATTCTATAAGTCAGTAATGTACTCTTCGAAAATCATTATTTGTAATGGTTTTATATATCAAATAAGAATAAACATATT